GGTGAGGCTGGCTTTGAACTTACGATTCTCCCGCCTCAGCCTCTCAACTTGCTGAGCTTATAGGGTGTGTAACCAAGTTTATTTTTTGTGAATGATCAGTCTTCATGATTAGGGTAATGCCAGCCTTTACTGGGATAGCCACTGCATATGGCTCTGGGCTTTGTTTTCATATTGTGAAATGTATGCACAGATAGAAGAGTCTATAAAGCACATTTATTTATTAAAAAATAAATATAAAAAAAGATTCATGTAAAAAAACATATTTTAAAGGAAAAGAAATAAAGCTAACCCTATTTGTAGATGGTGTTACTTTCTATACAGAAAATGACCAAAAACTTATAAAAAGCAAAACAAAACAAACAGAAAGCACAAAACACTCCTAGAAATCAGCAAGGAAACATTTCCTATGTCAACATTCTAGTAATGAAAGACTGAAAATAATTTTAAAATACACTTCATAATAGTATTAATATCATGAAAAAGTTTTAAATTCAACAAAATGTGCACAAAGTCTTAATGCTGAATAAAAACAAAATATTTTTGAACGAAAAAAAAATGATGACCTGAACACACAGTGTCCATGACTTGGAAGACTTATTATTAGTAGGAAATCAATTACTCCTCAAATAATGAATAGATGTATCATAGGCAAATGAAAATATTTAAAGGAATTTGTTTCTAGACATTGATAAGCTTAGCCTAATGTTGATATAGAAATGGAAATGAACTAGAATATAAAACAATTTGGAGAAATAAAAGTTGAAGAATTCTTACTGATTTTTAGACTTAATAAAAATTTTGTTTTGGCCAATACATAGATATAAAGAGCAATAGAACAAAATAGACCCACTTCCATGTTTGTAGAAATATATCAAAATAGACTCTTCTGACATGTATAACTAAAAAGAACAAGTTAAAAAATTAAAAAATAGGCCTACTCATAAATGGTGAATGGAGCCTGAAACATTGGTGTATGACTGTAATCTCGGTTACTCGGGAGGTGTGCACAAGAATTTCAAGTTCAAGAAAAGCCTAGCCAACTTAGCAAGACCCTGTTTCAAAATAAAAAAAAAATAAAGGGCTGGGTGTATAGTTCAGTGATAGAGTGCCCTCTGGATTTAATCCTAGTAATACAAAAGTGAGTTGATTTGAACCTAAGGTGCCAAAGCAATTCATTGATGGAAAGATGATTCTTTCAATGAATGACAATAACAATTAAGTAGCCATACTTTTAAAAATCATTAAATAAATCCTTACCTCCATATGTGAAATAAATTCAAAACAGAACATGGTCATGAATAGAGAACTTAACATTATAAATTTCAGGGAGAAAAGAGTGTACATGGTTATAATCCTGGATTAGGCAAAAATTATGTATATCAACTAAAGAAGGCAGAATCAATAAAAAAATTTTTTGATTCAAAAACTAGACTAAAATTAAAATTTTTAATTTTAAAATTATGTTTCCCCTTCAAAATATGTCTTTAAGAAAATGAAAAGAGGAGCCACAACCTATAAAGGCTATATTTGATAAATAATAATACACGAAGAACTCTTCAAATCTTATTTATTTATTTATGTGGTGCTGAGGATCAAACCTAGTTCCTCACATGTGGTAGGCAAGTGCTCTACCACTGAGCCACACCCCCAGCCCAGAATTCTTCAAATCAAAAACAAAGAAAACTACCAAATTGACCCTCAGGTAATAGAATTCCATAGACACTTTACTAAAGAAGATATGTGGGTGGAAAGCAAGCTAATGAAACGATACCCAACTTCACCAGCTTCAGAAATGCAATATTTAGTATTTGAGTAAAAGTACAGACTTTGTAAAATTCTTCCTTATTCTCAGAGTTTTAAGTTTTTGCTTGTGCTTGTTACATTTTTCACACAGTTTATCAACTGCTAAAATGTTTTTGTATATATATATTATCATCGCAGAGCATCTCCCTTTCTCCTCTCTCCTGTCATTGATTTCTGAATATCAGACTAAGAATATGGAATTGAATGTCCATGACTAGGCAACAAATAAATCCACAAGGACTGAGTTTCTGACAATTTTATTTTTGGTGTTCAGATAGAATACAAACAAGGAGCACTTAATACGTATGCTTAATGTGGACTTCTGAGGAATGAACTCTAGGGATAGAAACTTGGCTAAAATTCCTCATGGAACTCCAAATCTCCAGAGATGGGGTGTGTATGCCAATCATCCAAACATAACCAGAGACATATGAGTCTGTCTAAATGTTCTCCTCCAGTGAGAACAGGTCATTAATTCTCAGCTGCAGCTGTGAATTTCCCATCATCCAACATTAAGTATGGAGCCAACAGAGATGGAGATTTTTTTTTGGAAATGCGTGACAGCAGCAGAGAGCAGACAGATAACAAGGGCTGAGGAATGCAGGTGAGAGCACAATTACCTCCAACATTGGACTGATTCACATAGACACAAACACAGTGAGTCACCTTAAGAAAACAAAAACCACTGACTCATTCTTCATATAACCAAGTTTAAAGGGGGAAACATCTTGTGTTCTGTCAGGTACAAGATTTTTGGGTCAGGATATGCTTGTCTATTGCAGAACAGAGCAACTACATTACAAAGACAAAAATAGAGAAGCCCGTGGTGGATAAGAAAGAAGAAAATGGGACTTGGCAGTGCTAGGTCCAGTTATAATAGGATATTCCTAGATTTAGCCAGAATCTTAGAGCCAAAAGCACCATTTCCTACAACCCAAGAAGAGATACTCCTTTGTATGACATTAAAGACTCTGCTCTTCTGCCCTTAGCTTCTCTTTTGTTTCAGTTGCCACTCTACATCCATTCAATGTGGTCTGTGGCTTCATGTGTTGCCCCAAAGGTAAGGCTTTATTTTAAGGTTCAGGGAACACGAACACTCAGCCATGCGGATATGTCAGACATCTCATACACAGTCATACACTTATCAGGACTCAGAAAAGATTAGTTCATGAAGCAGCATACTTAAGTTTAAAAACTAAGGATTCTTCTCACAGACAGGGGTAGGTGCTCTCTCACCCTACAAGCTGTGTAGGAGAAATAATTAAAATCTAGAAGGTGAGTGGTTAATATGCAACCAGTAACAGGTTTCCTGCCAAAGCTCATCTTGTTAGGATCTAAGTCATAAAGTGGTAACATCATTTCCAGCAACTGACCATCCTGATGCAAGCACATACTGTAACCCAAAGGCTGTAACAGTAGAATACAGAATCATTTGAGCTTGATGTTCTTAGTGTTGGGGCTTACTGGCAAATCCAACATAAGTGGAAAAGTCCTTGTGGCCATCCTATCACTCCTCTCTCTCTCTCTCTCTGCTTCCCTTATGGGGAACTATCTGTCCTGAAAACCAAAAGATGCACACCTATTGGTCAAGGCTCTCAATTCTCTTGCTTGTCTTGCTGATATATTGATGACATATCTCACACTCTCTCCTACAATCCTCAACTACTAAGATCCACCATACACATGTCTCATTAGGAACATCTTCTAGCTTTATCTTATACAGTTTTACCTCTGATGGTTCTGAAATTACTCCAGGTAAAAAGATTTCACATCTTGGCACTGCATCCTTAATTCAACTAATTTGGCTCTCATGGTGATCATCATCTCACTGTTCCATAGTATGTACATCCTAGAACCCCAATCCTCAAAGTATTCCCTAGAATATCCTTAACCTCAGCAATCAGATAGAAGTTGCTGCCTCTCACTCTTCCTTTTTCTTAAGATTTTTATCTCCTGGGGAATTCATCTCCCCTCCTTCCTACTAAAATACCATGAATTCTTCCAGAGTCATTACATTCACAATGTTTTTTACTTGATCCCCGGCCATGATGATTTCTTAGTCCTGGGATTATCATTCAGATGCACCAGGTGAACTTGTTCTTTATCAATTAGTTCACTTTCCTCCAACAGAAAAATAACCCAGATACAATAAGTATCTGCTTTTCTTCTTCTGAGGGAAGGAGAAGAGGAAAAAGGCTGCCCACAGCTACCTGCTCCATGATCAGGTCATCAGACACAATAGCTGTGATCTACAGTGAAGACATCGTAAAGGTAGCTAAAATATTGGGGATAAACCACCAAGAAGGTCTATGGAAGCCTACAAATTTCCCACATTCTGAGAAAAAGGCTTTTTTAAAAAGAAACCATAAACCTAATTTGTAGGTTTATAGTATAGCACTTACTACAGAGTTTGCAACTTGGTAAAGTTTTAATCAATTTGACTGGACGTATAACTTAGTGGTATAGCAGTAGCCTCAAGTCCATTGAGGCTCTGGGTTTCACCCGAAGCAATGCAAAAGAAAAGAAAAAGAAAAAGAATTTTCCGTAAATGTAGCTAATCAAAATACATCCTGAAGGTAACTAGGTGTGGCATCACATGCCTATAGTCCAAGATACTCCAGAACCTGAGGTGAAAGAATCTAAAGATCAGAAGTTTTAGGCCAGCATGAGCAACACAGAAAGACCACATTTCAAAAAGAAAGAAAGAAAGAAAGAAAGAAAACCACATGCTTGCTTTATATAAAAGCAAGAAAAGAAAAGGTTCAACTTATTTTGAACTCTGTCTTTTATTAGTTTTGTGAATATGGGAGAATCACCTGTCTCATTCTTCACTTTCTATTGTGGAAGATAATGCCTCAATTAAGAAACTAAGTTAAATATTGTATACGAAAGAACTGAGAAGCAAAAGGGAATGGAATAGAATGAATAAAACTATAGCCATTAGTATTTAAACACCATCGAAATTAACTAGACTTCTTCTATAAAGATGCACAATAAGATAATCACGTTGCAATTAGTACTCAATGTATCAACATGTTGTTCCAAACTATTCAATGTTTTGGCTCTACTGCTATCATGTAATTTTTTTTCTTTGATAATAGGAATTTTAAATTTATTGGTATTTTCTCTGATTATACATGATAGTAGAATCTATATTGATATATGATCTTATGGTATGACATTTCTTCGCCACAGGCATGGATGGAAAAAATCAGACAATGGTCACAGAATTCCTCCTCCTGGGACTGTCTGGGAAGTCACATCAGGAGGAGGTCCTCTGTGGGCTGTTCTTGGGGATGTACCTGGTCACCATCATTGGGAACCTTCTCATCATCTTGACCATCAGCTGTGACCCTCATCTCCATACACCCATGTACTTCTTCCTGGCCAACCTCTCCACTGTTGACATCTGCATTTCATCAGTCACAATCCCCAAGATGCTGGTGAATCACATAGTGGGGAGCAAGTCCATATCCTACAGAGAGTGCATGTCCCAGATCTACTTCTTCATCACTTTCAGCAATATGGATGGGTTCCTCCTGAGTGTGATGGCCTATGACCGTTATGTAGCCATTTGTTGTCCACTTCACTACTCCTTGATCATGAGGCCCAAACGCTGTGTCCTTCTGGTGGCTGTATCTTGGATGATTACCAACCTGCATGCTCTCTTACACACTCTTCTCATGACTCAACTCACCTTTTGTTCCAACAATGCTGTGCACCACTTCTTCTGTGACCCTTACCCTATTCTCAAGCTCTCTTGTTCTGATACCTTTATCAATGACTTGATGGTCTTCACTGTGGGTGGTTTGATATTTATGACACCATTTACATGTATCATTGTTTCCTATGCTTTCATCTTCTCTAATGTGCTGAAGTTGCCGTCAGCCCAAGGGATAAGGAAAGCCCTGTCCACCTGTGGGTCCCACCTCACAGTGGTTTCCCTATTCTATGGGGCAATCTTGGGGGTCTATATGCACCCTTCATCCTCCTACTCAGTTCAAGACACTGTGGCCACTGTCATCTTCACAGTGGTGACACCCTTGGTCAATCCCTTCATCTACAGCCTGAGGAATCGTGACATTAAAGGAGCCCTTAGGAAGCTAATTCTTAGGTCCTAGAAGTAGAATATTTTAGAAGCAAACAACTCCTGGACATCATGTATTTCTTGTCCTGTTACAAACAGAGAAATAAGGCCACATAGGTATAAAACCCACCCATGACTATGTGATCATGCTCATGCTTTTCAATTTGCGGAAAACAGGTACTCATAGTCCTAAAGCAAGTAATTTGTTATCTGATTCTATGATATTCTGATTCTATGATATTCTGATTCTATGATATTCATTTTATATACAAGAACAACTAAGGAGAGAAATATTTAGATCTGTGTGTTTGGATAACTCTGGCAACACTCTAAGACACTGGCTACCACAATGACCTGGGAATTTCAGATGACATTAGAGTCATCCCTCCTTAGGATCAGCTGCCCTCTCTGTATAAGATGAGGAGATGGTACATGAATATTGGTTGGTAATGCATATTAAGGGCACAAGACTCTGCTCCCCACAACTAATAGATCTTGTTTACAAATGGTACTAACTGCCCACTGTTCTGGTATTTGCTTATTTCCATGAGAGGTAATTCTTCCTCTGTCCAAAGCCTAACACTCTCCCCACCTCAGAACACCACTCTTTGCCTACCTTCCAACAAACTTTCTGGTATTTTATTACATAGCATAGTTCACAATTTTTCAGAGCCCAGTTGTGCTAGGGCAGTGGGACAGGTTGCCTGGAGATGGAATCTGGGACATAAGGTTTATTAAAAACTGCTTAAGACAATATTCAGTAGTGAAAAGAATAGATAGCACCTCTGACCCTCAGGGTGCTTCACCTAGTAGTGTCTCATGTCTCCTAATGCTTTGTCTGGTGGCAGCCAGCTGGATAAACATTTTTTCTCTCCACAGTGCTGAGTTGTAACCAGTTACCACAGGAAGGAGGAATATATAGATTAGGTTTACATTGTCCCATTGTATGACCAGCATTCCAAGGGACTTAGTAATGCAAGAAAGCAGTATCTATCTACAAAAACACGAAGTTGTCCTAAGCTCCCTGAATGTAGGACAGATATTCAATGCCCTGCCAGTTATTCTTACCTAGATATTCCAGCCCAGGACTGCTCTTACTGTTCCCTTGACTTGGATAGAGTCCTGGGAATGGAAAAGGGAATTTCAAGGACACAATGCTTCATAGTCTTTTTCTACAATGATGACACAATATAAATAGAGTTATTATTCTCCTAAGTTATCATGTGTTGAAGAATGACTGATGATATGTTAGGTAATTAATGGGTGAAAGAAACCAGAATGTCTCCCTAAAGTCAGGATTTTTAACTCAAAACTGTTAAAAAGGAGGTGCTCCCTCTGCCTTTCCCTCTGTTTGCCTGACACCAGGACAGATATTCACAGGCAAAGGTCTTTCTAGCCTTCCCTGCTCCCACCAAGCCCCAATGCTGAAGACATAAATCTAAGTTCACTGGAGAAGATGCTTATCAACAAAGAAGCAGGACTAGGAGATGCCAGAGAAATCTAGGAGCAGACATGGAAACCTTCCCACTGTTTTCCAACCTGGAAGCCAGAAACATTTGGTCCTTTGTATTGTCACCCTCAGATTAATTGATTGCTCTTCCAAGCCACTGCTTTGAGAGAGGGTTACTTTCCTGGGAGAGTAGCTTGTATTATGTGTGACACACATGGTGTGTATTTAAACTTGCTTTTTAAGAATTTCCCCTCTTATTGATCCACCCTTTGTTAAAAGGAGTCAGTCCCAGCTAAGAACCTTTGAGGGGGGCTGGGGTTGTGGCTCAGCGGTAGAGCGCTTGCCTAGCACATGCAAGGCCCTGGGTTTGATCCTCAGCACCATATATAAATAAAATAAAATGAAATAAAGGTATTGTCTCCAACTGTAACTAAAAAACAAATATTTTTTAAAAAGAACCTTGAGGGCTAGGACAAGAAATTATGTTTTTCTCCCCTTCATGAGACACTGGGAAGCAACATTTCCAGATATCAAAATTCAGAGCAGTAAAGTGTACGATCTAGGGAACTTGAGAACTGACAGTTTCTGCAGAATGTGGAAATATTTCACTAAATTCTGAGTCCCAACCAAGAAATAGGTTGAACGTAAGGAACACTAATTTGGGGTATAGGTCTTATGCTTCAGTCTCTCTCTTCCTCAAGCCTCAGTCAAAACGGGTGTGAGGAGATACATGGAGATAGAGACTGACCATATCGAAGTGTTCAGAGCAACAGTAAGTCATTCTCTATCCCCTAGTGTCCCACTACTACAAATTCATTATAAAAAGTCACTCTTCGCTGTAGAGAAAGTCATGCTGAAAGGGGCAAAGGATCTCCTGCAAGGTCAGTATCAGGGCATGAGTAGAAAAAGGAAAGGCCTCTGTCTAGCTTGGCTTGTCCATGGTGGTTCTGCACTGGCTACTTCTGCAATAGCCCCACATCTGTCATCCTCTGCTGGCTGGGCACCACCTTCCCCTGCATCTTCCCTGACTCCCTGCTTCTTTTCTCATGGCCTAGCTACATAGGCGGAGCGCAGGGGAATTCAAAGCTTACGCCAGGGGCCCAGGTTATGATGCCCCCACGTTAGGAGCTCACAGGACACGAACTTCTCATAAATTAGAGCAAAGTATCACGAGGGCTCTCTAGTGCCTTCTCTGCCTAGAAGCAGATGCCATCCCAGGCTTACAGAGTGCTCTCCTGGGTCAGCCAGGAAATCAGAATTGTGTCTGGTGATCTTCCCTCCAGGGTCTGAGTTAGCAGAGACCAAGCCTGTGCCAGGAGCCTCCTTTCCTGCAGCCTGGACTCCTGGGAGCCACCACAACTTCTTCCCTACAGGTAGCTGCCTCCTAGTTATAATTAGTCATTAGAGGCCAACTCTTTGCAAGGCAATTAAAACAATTATGGGAAAAAAGTTGAACTTGAGTTCGGTGAATGTTGAAATAGAGGGTCATTCCTCATGCCTGCCCAGTGCTTCAGATACTGCTCTCCCCAGAGGGACCAGGGACTCTCCCATGCCATGGCCAATGGAGATATTTTTCAAAGTTCATGGAATCACCTCGTGTCAACTGGTCCTTTAAGTTTCCACTCCAAGTCTAAGCTCAGGTTGACTTCCAAAAGAGCCTGGTAATGTCACTTATGAGCTGAAGAAGGCCTTCCTGTTCTCTACTGGTTATTGTACCCATCTAGAGGTGGTTGTTGTTCTCTTGTGTTATTTTGTCTCCATTCTTCAGTGCAGAAGCTCAGCTTTCTAGTACTTTATCTCTCACAAAGTCAATGGGACTTCAGCAAATGACTTGGTTGTGGTCATTGGCCTTTTGCCACATGGACATTGAAAAACTGACTTTATCTAATTGGCAAGCTCTAAGTACTAAAATATCTGGCCCTCTAGACCAATTTCTCATGTCTGAGCCTCAAAGATCTGTCAAGTCTATTTTCAAATAGGCCATTTATTACTTGCTCTGAACTTCCTGCCTAATGTGTTCCTAGTCAAAATTAGTTTTTGGGGCTCCTAAAAAATAGCTTGCTTTAGGCATGAAAATGGAAAACAAAATGAGCCAGGAGCATCTTGTAGTGTAAGAAATTTGGAAATGACTGCTCCCCCCCTCAAGAAAAAAGAGAAGAAAAAAATGAGGAATAGGGGAATACCAAAGAAACATAGCACTCGAGCTGGAAAAGCTCCAAATGATCAAAGCTGGAACAATTCAAAAAACAAAGTATTACAGATTGAGCATCCCTGATCTGAAAATTCCTAATCCAAAATTCTCCAAAGACCAAAATTTTTTTTTTGAACTGGGATTGAACCCAGGGCTCCATGCATGTGAGGCAAGGTCTTTACCACTAAGCTACATCCCAGCTCCTAAAGACCAAAATTTTTGAGTCTGACATGACCTCATGGAGTTGCAGTCAAAACCCAGGTTCACTAAAAATATTGTATAAAATTACCTTCTGGCTATGTGTATAAGAAACATATATTTTATGTTTGTGTTTATAGTACAAACATAAGTTTCATGTTCATGAACATGAATTTTGTGTTTTGACCTGCTTACCATCTCTAAGATGTCTCATTATATATGTGTAAGTATTCAAAATCTGAAAAGTCTCAAACACTCGGGTCCCTAGTATTTCAGATAAGGTCTATTCTTGCTCTCCTGGATTATAACTCAAAGTATAAAATAAATGTAAATAAGTCCATAGTGATGAAAAAAAGTGATTGGATTAGAAAATAAATTGGAAGAAGAAACAAACTTTCTTTTCAGAATATTTCCAAGTAATATATGTAGACACTTTCCCCAACTTCAACCACACCCTCCAAAGTGTGAAGATTAACCATCTCCTGTCCTCTTCAGGGTTGGCTGGACCTGGTAATTTTTTGCCAAAAGCAGATATAGAAAAGGAAAAAAAAATTATCGTGTAGAAACTTGATAAATATTCATTAGTATGTATTTCTTATCTGTGATATTTCTTTTTTATCTTATATTGATTTTGTTATTTTTTTTAAATACACGGCAGCAGTGGAATGCATTACATTCTTATTACACATATAGAAAACAATTTTTCACATATAAAGTATGTTCATGCCAATTTATGCCTTTATACATGTACTTTGGGTTTTTTTGCATTATACTTTATATATATATCACAATTTTTCATATCTCTGTTTGTATATAAAGTATATTGACACCTAATTCAAGACTTCACTCTCATGTACTTAGTATAATGAAGTCCATCAAATTACACCATCCTTGCTAATCCCTTGCCCCCTCCTTTTCCTTCCCACACCTCTTCCCTTTCTAGAATTAATCTAATCCTCCCATGCTCTCCCTCCCAACCCCACTAGAGTCAACCTCCTTATATCAGAAAAAAAACATTCGGTATTTGTTTTTGGGGGATTGGCTAACTTCACTTAGCATTGTCTTCAACAATGCCATCCATTTACCTGCAAATGCTATGATTTTGTCCTTTTTTTAATGCTGAGTAATATTCCATTGTGTATATATGCCACATTTTTTTTATTCATTCATCCACTGAAGGGCATCTAGTTTGGTT